TAATCAATTCTAAGTTACCCCATTCCTGACCTATCCTGAAAATTTAATTAATTAATTAATTAATTGGATCCGGATCACCACCAAAATCTAATCAATTCTAAGTTAGCCCATTTCTGACCTCTCCTGAAAATTTTATGACAATCCGTCCATAACTTTTTAAATTAAGCTGTACACAAACAAACAAACGCACAAACCCACAAACCAACAAACACACGCCGGTGAAAACATAACTTCCTGCCAACCCCCGCCGGCGTAGGTAACTACTGGAATAAATCCATAACCTTTAAACGCTGGTACCAGTTTTCCCTACAACTCGATATACGACCTTCAGTTCCTCCTCAATGTGAGAGCGTTATATGTATGTAAATGTATAGTGTATGTATAGATTGTATCTATCTAAGCAGTCACGCATTCAATTGTCAGTCTCTCTACGGATCAAGCAGCAGTAAGCATTCTTTTCACGGACTATCCTCGCTAACTAACTAGCTTGCAGGCGTACTCGTCACAGTACAATACTCTCCACAGCTATACTATCCTGGCTAAGTTCGACTCCACAGGCACTTGGGACAGAGTCAGTAAAAACTGAAAATAATATGAACGCACATTCACAAATACTACCGTACCTCTCAATTACAGTTCCACTGCTGTGTCACTGTATATAAACTTTCCTTCAAAAAAACTAACGTCGAACGCTCCCGTGCTCGCCGCTGCGAGTGTGCTGTGTCGCCATTATAATGATAATAATATATAGCTTTATATAAGCATTTATATATTATTATCATTATAATGGCGACCACGCACACACGCGGAATACCTGCGCCAGTTTTACCTTGTTAATACAGTTTAGACTGCGTCCCCATCCATCGCTGACTGCTTATGCGCTGAGCCTACACCTGTTGCGTACAGGAGACGTTCGAGCGTTACACCCCGACCTTTCTTCCCCCTCCCTCTCTCTCTCAGTCGTTCTCACGCTACACGCAATAGTTGGCTCTAATGAGCCGCAGAACTAGTACGCGACGTTTAGACAACTTTGAAACGCAGCACGCAGCGCGTTACCTCTCCTACACCACTTGTTAAGTCCAGCCACCGATTCGATCAGGGCACGCAGCAAGGCACCCGGCAGTTTTCCGGGCATGGATATGACTCACGTAGGCACTTTAGGATATGACTATAGGCCACTTAATAAAAACTGAACCCTAAACCCTAACCTTAAAAAAAATTCATTTCAACTTCATTAAAGTGCCCTAGTTGTCATATCATTATCGCATAACTTTTCTGGCCAACACCGCCGCAAGCAGCGAGTCAAGTCTAAGACAACACACAACAACTAAATATTTGAAAGCACCCTTTGAAAATGCTATGGGTATAAACAATCAGCGTGACGTCACGGATGACAGCGCGGTGACGTAATGTCCAGTTGTCGAATCGTATCGCCTAGCTGGTGTTGGTATGGAACGAGGAGTAATAGTATTCTACACTCCACAACTCCATGCTTATACACAGCCCCCCCCTCGCCCCGCTTCGTGGCTCCTTGTACCCGTAGATTGGATTGCTAAACACCGCCTCTCACCCTCGTG